TGATAATATACAAATAATGATGTCTATGAAAAATATTAACTGATAGAATATTTTTTAACACAAATCCAATTATACATGTCCATGTTAAATTTTAGTATGTGGGTACGATTATTGTCAGATTTAGTTCGCCTCATTTACTTAAGTCAGGAATCACTACTAAAGAATTAGCGAAATTCTATAAAGATATCTACATACTCTAATGAAAGAAATGGGGAGCAAACCATCAACTATCAAGATTCCATTATTCTAATGTTCATCGCTTCCTAGAAAATAGGGAGAAAATGTAAATCCTTAAGACTTGCCCCTTACTAGTGAACGTGAACATTCTCATTCAACAAGCTCACGTAAACAACAAAAGCACAAATGCCATAGTCGGTTTTGTAGACTTAAGATTTGCACCTTCATGTGATTGTTTTCAATGTGAGCATTTGACACAGGATTGATACAGGATGGCAATAGAACATGTGATATAATAGACGCACAAAGTGAAAATAAAAAAACGCATTGAAATATTTGAAAGAATCTTAGTCTAAGAGAAACATTAACTTCCATTTCAGTTAAACAGAGAACAATGCCTAATGAAAGTGACAAATACTCGAACTGGAGAAAATGAAAAATTCAACATATTTTCAAAGCCAAATTAACTTTCCATATTGCCTACTGGTTTCCTAAAAAATTATTTTTGCATATCCTGCACAACATTCAGCATGGGTGAAAGAGCACTTCAGCTAAGAAATTATTGCTGTGGGGTTTTTAAATTCAAAAAATATAAGAATGAGTAAAATTTCTCCTGAATCTAACATGATATGATATTATGATAACAAACCTCATCATCCACTTCAGGGTGTCCATCAAACCGTAATAGAACGGGTAGTATATATGATTCATCATCCTGCTCCAACATTGAGAAAATAAAAATGGTTAGCTGCAAATCTGCAAACACTCAAAACTCTGTTAGAATCATAATCAATACCTTGCAGAAGGATGAAGATTAAAACAATTAACAATTAAACATTGCTAAAGGTATCAACACAAATATGCATTCAAGAAAAAAAAGAAAGAAAAACTTGGAAAGAATGTCACTGCTAACCAATGCATGCTCTGAATCTCACAATGAAAAAAAGACACATAAAAGGTCATTTGTAGTCAAATTAAATGTGAAAGAATTAAAAATGTCAACATTAATGTTCGATAATATTAGGAAAGATAAAGTTAGAAATGTTTATACTATAGATAAGTGGAATTAATTGCTATTGGGCATGTACAATAGCGCGTAAAAGTTGCATTATTATGGTCGATATATTGGAATAATAAGAAAGGATTCATAAAGAAAAAAAATGGTTAACCCTAAACAAAGTCTAATGATGACACCCA